TCACATTTTGTGCACACATGCTCACCAAGTGCTGTCATGAACGACAGCCAGCACCTGCACCTCGTAGTATGTGTCAATCACAAGTGCCTGGGACTTTTTGTCCCCCAGGCAGCCATTTTTCAGTGCAGTGCCCCTGATCAGGACCGACTCTGAGATGCATGGCTCACACTGTCCCTAGAGCTTCCTGTGGGACTGTGCCAGTCACCCTCCGTGGACTTTGCTTGGCCTCCTTCCCTTTCTGGTCCCACATCCCACTCCCTTTTATTTTCCTGGGAGCCTCTTCCTAATAAATTACTTTCACACAAATTCTTAATGTTTGCTTCTCTGGAACTCACATAAGACACTGTGAAACCAATTCTAACACCACGTTCTATCTATTACAATACCTGGTGTGGTTTCTGTTTTTCTGACTCGACTCTGACTGATGAAGGACATTACCTATCAAACCTGAAGGACATGACCAAAGCTAAATTCAGAGACAAATGTAGCATTACATGGTCTAAGCTTTCAATTAAAAGACTAGAAAAGCAATAAACATAAAAATAGATGTAGACATTGATATAAGAGAAAAATAATCAATACAACTCAAAAGATGGCCTTTTAAAAAGATTAATAGAGAACTCTTTAGCAAGTTTGATTTAAATAAAAGGCACGAAATTAGTAAAATTGGCCCAAGAAATACAAGCCCTAAGTAGACTAACGACCACAGACAAAACTGAAAAAAAACCCCCCACACAAAACTATCCCCCACAGCAAGTAACTAAATTTCTGTTAGACAGGTTACCTCCCCAACACTTTAAGAAAAATGCCTCTGGGTCAAATTTTGGGGATTACCCTCCTCACGTACCCCTTCGATGAGCTGCAGACACTCAGTCAGAGTGCCGTTAATTTTATTGGACAGTTCAAGCTGTGCGTTCCTTTCTTCCTCTTCTCTTTCCATGCTCTTCCAGAATGAAACATTCATTTCCTCTATGATTTTTCTTTTTGTTTTAAGTTCCATTGGAGGCCGCTTATACATTTTCCCCTTAGATTTCTGCCATTCTTCCAGCTGTTTCCTGTTATGCAATTAGAGGGGAGGAATGGTTTCAGGTTTTTGGGTACATGGTCAAGCTTCAAAGTCTATGCTATGCATGGATTTGAGTACTATCACTGCACACCTTCAAGTACGAAGTCAGGAGACTGGAATTAAAAGCAAGTTACAAATGGGTAACGGCAGCAGTGGGTAATTGCCCCTCCTCGAAGGCGGCGGCATTACTAGGATTAGAGGTGGCCAGCATCTCAGTCTTCAAATCCCTTGATGTCAAGATTATACATGATTTTTCTCTGAAAACTTTCATTTTACTTGTGCGCTAACTCTGAGATCTGACTTTCATCTCTGAGCTCACTAACTCAGCACTCCATTTCTCTTACCACAAGCTTGGTATTTGCCACTGATCAGACTCAACATACCCGCACTATGGCCTCAACAGGGTGTTGGCCACTCAAAGTGACCCACATTGCCCAGTTCCTTAGTCTGCTCCTGACCACACATGGCCCCCTTTACTCTAAAAAAGACAAATAATTTCAGGACTCTTTTTCAAAAGATGGCGACAAGTCCTAATCCTTGCTCTCCCCCACTTTTCACAATCTCCACTCCTACTTCTGAGCAGCCGATTGACTGCTACTGGGGGAGGAACCAAGACATGTGGGCCCGTGTGTGGATGTAGACTTGCTAGCTTCTTTAAATTATAACTAGTTCATGACTCACAAATGTACATTTCAGTCCAGATCTCTCCCTACAGCACCAGCCTTTGTAAAACCCACATCCTGGTTGGTATCTTTTGTTTGATGTCTGGCAGGCATTTCAAATTTAATATTATCCAAAACAATGCTCGATTTTCATCTCTAGATCTGTCCCTGCATCTGTAAGTGTCCCTATCCACCCAGTTGGGAGGGCCGAAAACTAGGAGTTGTCTTTGAGCAGTACTTTCTTTTCCCACATCCCCACACCATCGTATGGACAGTACTGCTCCCACCTCCACCAGCACCCTCCTAGACCACTTCACTGCCACTTTCCGCCTGAAATGCTGCAGCTGCCTCCTAACTCATCTCCTTCCTTGATTCCATTTTAACCCTTAAAAAATTTATCCTGTGAACACATATCTAGATTGATCTTTAAAATGTAAGCCAGACTGAGTCATCACCAGAAATAAAATTCAAATTTTTTCCTATGGCGAATGACAGTGTAACTTGAGTTCTGCCAGCCTCTCCAAGATTATGGTGCACCACTCTCCCTCCCATCCCTACCCTCTAGAACAGTGGTTCCCAACGTGGGGCACATGCCCCACAAGGGGGCAATTTGATTTTTTAAGGGGGGGCAATTTGAGAGTGAGTTGTTAACAGTAAATTGTTTGCATTTCTTATGGTTCTAGGGGCTTCATATACAGTATATAAATATATATTGTGACACATTTATGCATTTCAGTTCTCTATTATATGTTTTGAAACTTTATTTGCTATTTTTCATATCACTTCATATTATTTTTTTTTTTTAACAATTTCTTAGTGATTTCTTCCTCAGTACTTCAAATTCCTTTTGTTCTTTTATTTTTCTCTTTCATGGATGCCATGTTCTTTGGAAGCTTGTTTAGAACAAGTTAATGGCCTTTTAGGCTTCCTCCATGTGAATAGGAGCTCACTTTTTGAATAATAACAATTATATGTCACAGTGAGGGGCACCAGGTTTTAGAGATGCTTAGGTGATGCATGGACAGAAAAAGGTTGGGAACCACTGCTCTAGAAGTTCTGGTGTCCTTTTAGTCTTTTGACCCAAGCTCATCCCTGCCTTAGGGGTCTGGCATAATCATCCTTCAGTCCTTCCTGACTAGGAAATTATCTGTAATTATCCTGTCTTATTTAACCAACTAGAGGCCTAGTGCACAAAATTTGTGCACTCGGTGGTTCCCTCAGCCCAGCCTGTGTCCTCTTGCATTCTGGGAGCCCTCGGGGAATATCTGACTGCCGGCTTAGGCCCGCTCCCCCGGCTGGCAGACGGACATCCTTAGCGCTGCTGCGGAGGTGGGAGAGGCTCCCGCCACTGCTGCTGCGCTCACCAGCTGTGAGCCCGGCTCAGGGCTTCTGTCTGAGCGATGCTCCCCCTGTGGGAGCGCACTGACCACCGGGGGCAGCTCCTGCATCGAGCGTCTGCTCCCTGGTGGTCAGTGTGCGTCATAGCAACTGGTCATTCTGCTGTTCAGTCAATTTGCATATTAGCCTTTTATTATATAGGATGTGTTCACTTCCTGTCTTCGCCACTAGACTGCAAGCTCTAGGAAGGCAAAAATCCTGACTGTCCTAGCACTGTACCTAAAACACACAAGTGTTCAATAACATCCAGTAAAATCCACCTTTTTAAGAGTTCAGTTCTGTGTTTTAACAAATGTAGTCATGTAACTGTAACTATGAAAGCCTTACTGACTTTCCAAAACTTTGCCTGCTCAGACTCATAGTTTTCCATTCCTTCTTCCTTGATAGCTTTTCTGGACTTAACCCCTGGTCTGCTTGACAAAAGACTAGTATTTCCCCACCTCCTCCCAGCCCTCTTCCCTTGCTGCTTAACCTAAAGGGACTTCCTGAGTGAGTCATGTATACCTGCAACCACAACTCTTTACTCAACCATCCTGCTTCAAGCACACAGAAAGTTAGAGAATATTTACTATATTTGCTTCAAATATTCTTTTTTCAGAGTTGAAGCTAAGAATAACCCAGGAGCCATTATTTATGGCCTATTTTCTGACCAAGTACTCCTGATGGTCAATTTGCCTAATCATCTTACATTGCAATTTTGGAATTAAAGCAACATACCTTCGATCCTCTGCTGTGACCTTCTTCTTAACATCTGGGTTAGTCTGGGTCCCATTTGGGACTCCTCTTCCATTTATGGCTGTGCCACCAGCTTGAGTTTTGGGAGCTGTCTTGTTTAGAAAGGGATTCTGGGGAAGAGCCCCTTTCAACTTGGAGTCCAGGGTCTGTGCTTTCTGTTGACAGCTGCTGCTGTGTTTATTCCCCTTGGCTGTACTTGCTCTTATGCTTGGGGTATTGGGAATGACTGAAGGGAAGCTGCCAACAGCCAGGGTAGGCCTTTGGCTCACAGCTTTGGATTTCTGCTGCACACATGACATCTGAGGTCTAGAACAAGGTTGAGTGGGTTTCTGGTCTTGCTTAAGGCGGTCAGGTCCTCCTTGAAGCAGACTGGGGCATGTCCTGGGTCTGGTATGTACTGCTTTTTGTTCAGTAGCAGCATGTGACTGTAACTTGGCTGCACCTGGTCTTTCATATTTACCCCTATTAATATTTATATCCTTCAGGTCCTTGATCCCTGGTTTCTTTGCTGCTTGAGTCCTACTAAGGGTCTGAACAGAGTGAGAGGGAACTGTTTTTGGGGTTTTTACTCCTAGTTTTGCAAGAGCTGTTCCTCTAGGGAGCTGCTGTGACTTCCCTGGTGGAATCCTGGTTTGTGCTTCTCCAACAAATTGTTTATTAGCTCTGTCTCTCAGAACAGCACAATTCAATGAACTTTTACCCAAGGCTTGTTTAGGGGCCAAACTGCTCTTGGTTTGATTATAAGAGCTAGTCTTTGGCTCACTTTTGGTCCATAATTGAGGATGTGGTGTCTTCTCAGAGTCCAGTACAGTTTGGGACAAGTTCTCTTTGTTCACCTCTTTTAGAAAGTTGTGTGAGGACTCACCCTCACCACGGTCACTGTCCACAGAGTCTGTAAGTGCAGTATTTCCTCGATCTGTCACCTGCTGCTTTGCAGCTTTCAGTTCCTGTAGATGAAGTGACCCCACAGTTTTCCTCGACAGCTCTCCAGAGGATGATCCAGCTTTGTGCTGTTGCTGACGGTTGCTGGAAGGCTGACAGTTTGGGAGAGAAGAAACACATCCTGAAGTCAGCCTTTTGCCCAGAAGTTTTGGTGGCTCCAACTTTGGCTTCCGGGAACCTGGGATAATGGCAGGTCTGGGCTGATGTTTAATGCTGATGGGTCTTGTAGCTTTGACAGGCAAAGCAACATGGTTGGCAACATCCTTTTTGGGTCTAATAGTCTAAAAAGACAAAGAAAAATATCAAAAAAGAAAATTTATAAGAATAACTAACTTAAAAAAAATTAGTTATTTTATTTAGAATTTCACTAAGGAAGTTGAAACTGAGAAAATAAAGGCTCACTAAGAGAGGATTTTAATAACCCTATCTAATAAAGAGAGAATATGCTAATTGACCCTCACACCATCACAAAAATGGTGGTGCCCACAGCCAATAAGGAGGGAATATGCTAATTGACTGCCCTGTCCTCAAAGATGGTGGAGCCCACAGCCAATAAGGAGGGAATATGCTAATTGACTGCCACACCCTCAAAGATGGCGGTGCCCAGTTCCCTCAGCCCTGCCGAAGTGGCAGGTGCAGCAAGGCTGGGCCCGCCCCTAGGCGAGCCTGGCCGCTCCGCATGCCTGCCTCCAGAGACCCCCAGTCCCCTCAGCCCCCCAGCCGCCCAGGGCTGGGCCAGGGCACAGGCAAGCCTTGGATGGCAGCTGCCCAGACACCCAGGGCTGCCCGAGGCTCAAGTAACCAGGGCCGGCCGAGGCTTGTGCTGCCGGCAGCGGCAGCAGCAGAGGTATAATGGGGCGTCGCCTTTCCCTGATCGCCAGGTTGCCTCCCGCCCCTGAGGGCTCCCGGACTGTGAGAGGGGGCAGACTGGGCTGAGAACCACCCCTCCACCTCCAGTGCATGAATTTTCATGCACCGAGCCTCTAGTGAGTTCCTATAAAAATATATCAGCATCTTTTAGCTTGATAGAATTAAGCAGAGATGCAGTGAACATACAAAACTTGCTGTTTTAAAAAACATGCCTCAACCAAACAAGTACTTGCTCAATGCCCATTAGGTCCCAGTGAAGTGTTCATTTGAGGGACCCTGGAAAGGTATACACACAGTATACTTATGTTAAGGTACCACCCAAGTTCTTTCTAGTCCTTTGTACGGCCACACTAATATTTTAAAGACAACACTGCCTTTGTAAAGGCCACAGTGTCACTCAAGAACCTTTGTCTCATCACTTGCAAGAACAGATAGTAGATGCAGGGAGGCCTGAGAAACTTTGAACAGCTCTCCATAAGCATCTAACATCACAGAAGTTAGTCATATTTGTGAACTCAGAATGGATTTTAAGGTTAGATTCTATGTTATTAATAAGTAAATGTTTTAGTCATGTGACTTAATTTTGGATAAGAAAGGTAGGACTAGATTACAGAGAACTTTGAAAAATAGGGAGGGGAGTTAGAGTTGAGATGGTAAAGAACAGGAGCATCAGTTCTTAGCAATTACACAGGAAGGTTAATTTGGCAGACATTTGTAAAGTACAGGTTTCCAGGGGAAAATATGCTAGAGCTACCACTCTCTCTGTTTCATTCAATAATATTGTCAAGAGTTCCTGTGTAAACTTTGTGCATATGTAAAGAAGTCTGAAACCAGAGCCACTTGGCATTAAGGGTGAGGCACTGTCTACTCATAGCATTGTATGGGTATGTGTGGTGTTGCTGAGGTGGGGGCAGAAATAGATGGTACACCCACATGTCTATAGCTGGGTTACTCCTTGAGACTCAACATTCCTAGCCACCTCTGATCTCTCCATTATCACTAACTGCTGAGGCATGGAGGTTGGTATCAAAGTGTGCTGTTCTTTTTTTGTACATTAAAAAAAACTTAGTTGTTCTTTTTGTACATTAAAAAAACCTGAGATCTAATTTTCATCCCTGTAAAATTTAAAGTGTACAATTCAGTGGGTTTTAGGTATTCAGAAGGCTGTACAACCATCACCACTAATTCCAGAACATTTTCAACACTCCAGAAAAAAATCCATACTTGCTAGAAGTTACTCCCTATTTCCCTCTCTCCTCAGACCCTGGCAACCACTAATCTACTTTGTTTCTATAGAGTTGCCTACACTGGACATTTCATATAAATGGAATCACACAGTATGATGTGAAGTGGCATTTTGTGTCTGGCTTCTTTCACTTAGCATTATGTTTTCGAGATTCACCCATGTTGTAGCATGTATCAGTATTTATTTTTTAATTAATAAACTTTAATTTTTAGAGCAGTTTTAGATTCAAATCCAAATTGAGTGAAAAGTACAGAGAGTATTATAGACTCCTTATACCCATACATGCACTACATAACTTTTTATGGTTTTATTCTGTTAAACCTGAAGTATGTTGAGGTCCTTTTCCATTATATCCACAATCTAGATCAATGGAACTGATGAGGGAGCATATTCTTGTTAAACAGCATTCCAAAGTGGTTGAGACCAATAGCTCTCAGCTCCGTCATTTAACAGCTGTCCTGTGACTCAGTTCCCTAATCTGTAAAATGGGGCTACTAAGAGTACCTATCTCATAAGGCTCTAAGGACCTACAAGTGAGACACATAGTAGGTGTTCAAAAATGTTAGCTATGAAGAGACCAAAGTGCACTTAAAGACTTTTTTTTGTTAACAAACTGAATTACAATATGTTGTACTTTTCAAAAAACAATTCTGTCTTGTCCCTTATACACTGTTGCCATACTTATGAGAAATATTTGTGTAAAACATTTTCTTTAGGTTGCTAACATCTTTATTATTTTTTATTACTAATCACTCAAAATGGATATTTGTTAAAAGACTAATTTCTACTTACAGATTTAGAAGATGGAGGATTTGGGCAATTATTCTTGGCTTTTAGATAAGGCCTATAAAAGAAAAAATAAGTAATTCTTAGTACAGAAGGATCAACAAGGCTTGGAAAATAGAGCGATTAAAAATGAAATTTTAGCCCTAACCGGTTTGGCTCAGTGGATGGAGCGTCAGCCTGCGGACTCAAGGGTCCCGGGTTCGATTCCGGTCAAGGGCATGTACCTTGGTTGCCGGCACATCCCCAGAAGGGAGTGTGCAGGAGGCAGCTGATCGGTGTTTCTCTCTCATCGATGTTTCTCTCTATCCCTCTCCCTTCCTCTCTGTAAAAAATCAATAAAATATATTTAAAAAAAAATGAAATTTTAAATCAGTAAAATGTCTGTATATGGTAAAAGAATTATAAATTATATTCAATGAAGTCTCCTTATCCTCCCTTCCTTAGTCCCATTATTCTACTCCTCAGAAAACACAATTGCTCTTACTCACACCTGTGATCCCTTCAGAGATGTCCTACATATACACATAATATTCCAACAATTTTAATGCACTGTGCCAGGTACTGGAGATATAATGCCTAACAAGTTTAAAAAACTTGTTTTAACTATCTCCAAATAGTGAATTACCAGGGGAAAAAGTGATACAATTAAAGAAGGAAACAGGCACATATGAAATCTAGCTAGTGAGACAGAAAATGCGAAAAAGGATAGGAAAGTAGAGGAGAATTTAGGATTTAATCTCCATGGATCAAAAGCAATTGCCAAGCTAACAGGGATTTCAATCATGACTTTGTTTCTCCCATCGTGAATATAAGCCCTGGGAGGGCCGGACTGCTCTGTCTTGTTTAGTACCATGTCTTCAGAACCAAGAGAGATACATTACACAGGTATTAAATAAATATCTGTTGAATAAATGCGGTAAGTTTATTTAAACAAAGAAATAAAGTTGAGCAAAGACCCAAAATAAAAATAAAATAAAATGTGAAAGCTAAATTTGCAAAAATTTGTTTTGTAAAAAAAAAAAAGGTTTAGCAACCCAAGTGAACAGAAAATTGATCACTGCTCAGAAGAGGAATAAATAACATCGCTAAGATGTTGACAAAAGATAAAAGTAAATTGGTCATATCATGTTCATTTCAAGAGTAAGTGCTGTCAGCCGCAGCCGACGTGGCTCAGTGGTTAAGCATCAACTTATGAACCAGGAGGTCATGGTTCGATTCCTGGTCAGGGCACATGCCCGGGTTGTGGGCTCGATTCCCAGTGTGGAGTGTGCAGGAGGCAGCCCATCAATGATTCTCTCTCATCATTGATGTTTCTCTCTCTCCCCCTCTCCCTTCCTCTCTGAAAGCAATAAAAATATATTAAAAACAAAAGAGTAAGTGCTAAGGCAGCGATTTTCAATCAGTGTGCCACAGCCAACACAATAGCTGTCTGGTGTGAATGAATCAAAATTACACCTTTTTTTTGGTCAGATCAGCAAAAATATATTTTTCTTGGTGCAGCAGAATTTTGGTAATTAGTCTCTGTATGCCATGAGATGAAAACGGTTAAAGTCGCTGAGCTAAGAGAATGACCAAAGAGCAGGATGTTCATGTGCAGCCATGGAGGACGGAACCAGGGTCATTCAGCTCCCTGACCAAACACTGCCTTCACAAGAATTACTTTCCCAGGAAAAGAGCAGGGATGGAGGGAGCTCCCAGCAAGGTAGGTGATATTGTAGATCCTCCCTCCTTCCTTTGGAGACTCTCACAGTAATAACGCCCAGGTCTTCGCCAATGTACCAGACACTGCCCAGAGGTTTCTGTCATGCTCGCACTGAAAGGCCCTCTTTGAGTTACCGTAGGACGCCCATGTCGTCAGAGCAGAGCACAAGCACAGGGCTTTGCACTGCTGCTGGCAACCAGGGAACCGAGTCCCCTCCCTGCGGGAGACACACTCACTTGCTGTTCTGGCACCGCAGTTTCCCCTTGGCTGCCAGGTACTCCTGGAGCTGTCTCTGCCGCTCTTCTGCAAAACAGGCAAGCAAACAACGGACTTCAGCGCGGGAGGTTAACCAGTTCATTTTATATTCTTTTCCTTTTTTTGGTTGTTAATCCTCACCCAAGGATATTTTTTCCATTGTTTTTCAGAGTGGAAAGGAAGGAGGGAGGGAGGGGGAGAGAGAATGGGAGGGGGGGGGGGCAAGAAAGAGAGAAAGTGAGAAATATCCACCTGTGAGAGAGACATCAAATGGTTGCCTCCCACACACACCCCCAACCAGAAATCAAACCCGCAACCCAAGGCACAT